ATGCATAAATACATAAATACATGATGCTGTTTTATTAAATTAAACAATTTATGAGAATACTTTTGATTTATCTAAGTGTGTTATTTTAAACATTCTGCACTGTTTTACTGACAGACATGTTATTTTATTGCTTTAATATTTTGCTCATTGCGCTCTCTTGTGTCCGCAGGAGACAAGCCAAATCTTCATAAAAGATATAAGAAAAAAGATATTTGTTTAAATTGTATTTCGTTTTTGACTGATAAAACTAAAATCATTTGTTATTTGCCCTAATAGATGGGTAAATAAAATAAAAAATAAAAAATCTAGTGGTATTTTTAAAAAAAAAAAGGTTACAAAAATAGTATGAAAAATTATATTGTGTTAATTGTTTTAGCTCCCAGCACTCATGCATCACGTAGTGTTCATACCGTTAGGCTTTGATTGTTCTGATTCTTACCAGTACCATTCTTACCATTACTGCTCCAGTGAAAAAGGTCTTTGCAATATTCTGTTTGCTAGATGCGTTTCCCTGAAGTGAATGCCAACAACTGTTTATTCATATTAGACACAAGCTGGAACAGTCCAGGAAAAAATACAGAACTAACGATTAATTCTTCGTGGTTTATTCAATTCATATTTTACAGATCATACAGATTCATATGCTACAATGTTGAACAAGAACAGAGAGAAGAGCAGCTCAGAGACTGACCAGACACAAGAGAGACCGGTATATGTCAACAGGTTAGTGACATTAATACACATTATTTTGGAGAAACAGTAACAATTTTTTCATTTTTTGACAAATTCAATTATTTCATTTGAAGAGAAAAACTGATGCTTATTCTGGCATTGTTCAACACATTGTATACATGGAATCATTTTAAATGGTATACTCATTGTTTTTTTGTAACATTCTTGGAATTTGATTCATCCCAGTATCTTGAATCATTTGAATCCATTAACCACATAAATTGTTTTGAGTTCCTTTAGTTATTTATTCTGTTATTCTTTCTGAAGGTTATTTTTACACTTTTACTGTATGTGGAGACAAGTGAGTCTTTTGTGCATTAAATGTTACTACTAATAATAACATTAACTTTATACCATATAAAGCGTTTAGTCACTGCTCAAGATTGAAGTATATATAACATAAAAGTAACAGGCTAACCAAACAATATATAATACTGTAATGTGCACAGAGCCTCAGCCAACAGTAAAGATCAGGGTGCTGCAACCATCAGTGTGAATTTAAGATATAAAATCATCAAAGCAACAGTCCGCTGGAGCAAAGAGACAAACCACAAAACCCAGCAGATTATAGTACAAATGAAGAGAAAAGCTGCAGTGCCGCATACTTGACAGTCACATTCACACACTGCTAAATACCTCCATGAAACTCACAGCTGCTGCAGAGCAAACTACAAACCAGCATGAAACACACACAAACAAACAAACAAATTGTGTGTCCACAGTTGTGATCTGTGCCCGCAGGCTTTGGTGGTCGTGGGGCCTGCTGGGGGCTTGCAGCAAAAGAGTGGGACAGTTTGGTTCCAGCATAGACCAGTTTTTTCCATTTTCTCTGAGAAGCACAGAAGTGGAGATGCTGGAGAGACGGATAACGTGTCAGGGGAGAGGGGCTGTTGCTCTGGTGTTATTGGAGGCTGTAGTATATGCTGTCCTGGATTCTCTCGCTGTTTTCCAGAAAGTCGTCCTTGGGTGCTGAATCTGGGAGCAGTTCTGATATGTTCCGGTCTGTCTGTGGTGAGCTCTGTGGGCAGCCCAGATAGCAACATTGTTTCGGCCCAGATCCGGCCCACATCTGGCACTTGTGGGATGCAGATCTGGCCCGCATGCAGCGTTGAATGACGGCCCTTGGGTGGCCCACTCCTGTTTGCCAGATCTGGGCCACAAGCAGGCCATACACAGCAAAATCCCCAGTGCACTGTAAAAAATTTACTGTAAAATTTACAGTAACTTACTGGCAACGATTAGCCAGTAAGTTACTGCGAATACTTTTTACAGTAAGGGTACTGTACTTCCATTTACAGTATTTTATGTTTATACTGTGAAATTAAATCAATTAAATACTGTGATTTTAGCTGTAAATTATCTCATTAACTTTAACACTCTTGAGTGTTAATTTAACACTCGTATCTCCATCATATCTTCCATCTGAAAGCAGGTGAAGGTGATTTACTACTAATTAAGAATACCGGCTTTACTGAAGAGATGTGCAGAGCATTTGATTGATTTTTTTTTAAGGAAAATACAAATGACATGTATTTGAAATACGTATTTAATTACTTTTGAGTATTTTGTAATTAAAATACTGCCCATCTCTGGTAGCCAGTCAGTTGCTATTGTTGCCAGTCAGATGCTTTTGTGTTAAACAAACGTGTATAAAGTTAAAAAATGTAGCAAATTATCCTTCAGAAATTTTTAGTAAGAGCCGTGTGTGTTGAGGTTCTGTTTGACTCGCTTCATCGCGGCTTTCTCGGTCTGATTCTGGGTCATACTGATACTGCAAGTTCGACACATAAGGCTTGTTTGAGATGCGCCTCGCCTCGCCTGCAATGTAGTCGAGAGTAGGCGGCTGCAGTGAGTGGAGGAGTGAAAAAAGCGCATTCAAGTCGGACAAATCTCGGTTCTCGCAGTGAATCAGACACCTGTGAGATCAAATTCTGATATCACGGGATTCACGCTCGTGCACGTGTTGCTAATAAACTGGATGTGATTTAAGTTCTGTTGCTTTTATATGAAAATAAATATAATGAACAAGACACCCAAAGCACTTGTTATTTAATTAGGCTACATTCCAAATATGTGTTTATCAATCATTTTTTATTTAATACAGACGTGTTTTTATATTTTTTTTAATAAAAATGACATCACATAATAACCCATATGGAACTGCCAGAGAGTGTAAACATATTCACCCATATGTATACACATAAAACATGATATCAGTTTTAAAATCAAACATTTTAAAAGAGAACAATTCATCACTGTTGTTTTTTTTATTTTTATTTATTTTATTTTTTATTAGAATGCAAGTTACAAACATACAAGCACTACAATTCGTGAAACAAATATTATACAGCGACAAATAAATAAACATCAGAATAAAATTAATAATAAAAAAATCAAAATTAATCAAAATAAATTTAGTTTAAATAGACAGACTTACAAACTTCATCATCTATAAAATGAGAGAAATTTTCCTAATTTTCACTTGAAAATTTTAGAGTATATTTGAGTTACTGACATAGCTTTCTTATTTTTAACCCGTTTAAGAGACTCACAATATATATCAATTTCAATTTTAAAACATGGCCTTTATTTGGAGAATTTAGCTTTATGAATATGGAATTTACCTACATAACTGTTGTTTAAACCAATGAGCATTAAGCTGTGTCGTCAGCAAGTCGTTTCCCATCATGCTTTTGATCAGCGCAGTCGGTGGAGAGCAACTGCGCGCGACTGCAGAATCCGACCCTTCCGCTCGCGAGAGTTTTTTGACATACGTCGGCATGACATCAGATCCAGGCGGACCGTTCTCGGACACATTTCTAACCGGCATGCATCTCGCGCTGATCACCGGTGATCGATTCTGCGCAGATTTTGCTCATCTCAAACAAGCCTATTTTTTTTTTTTTTTTTTAAATTCAAAAATTTGTTTTACAATAGTGCAAACATGCACCTCTTAAACATCTGGATCATTTCAACAATGTATATATTGAACAAGTAGAATCATTCTTGCATATCTCAAACAAGCCTATATTTACATCTGGACCGGAGCTCATGACGTGCCCATAAAGGTAATGGGCATTAACCGTAAGCGACAGTTTAGCCAATCACAACACATCGGACCAAACTAACCAATCTGAGCCCATAACGTGTTTCTGAGGGAGTGGTTTCATAGAATCAGGAAGTCAACCGCTCGTTCAGGGGACAGAGGAGAGCGCGGCTGACAATAAACGTGAAGTTTATGAAAAATAAGACTTTTAAAAAAAGAAAAACCATGAATACACGTTATATTGCACCCCATAAACACAATCATGCAAAGAAAAAAAGCAGTCAACCCCTCCCCCTTTAGATTAAGCAGTCCGACAACAGCCAATATTTGATCTCACCATCGTCAAGTCCATCTGGGATCACATGAAAACAAAAAAAAACAAAAAAAACCCTGACTAAATCCAGAAGAATTGTGGAAATGTCTCAAGATATTTAAAGAAACATTCCTGCAAAGCTAGGGGGTGGCACAAAACATATTTATTTGATTTGGTTAATGGAAGTTATTTGATAAAGAAAATCTATGTATGATGACATTATTTCTCCCTTTCCAGCATTTGCCCACAAGTGCCTAAAACCTTTCAACATACTTTGCAATAAGGTTTCTTCAACAGTCTTAGAGAAGTTGCTGCAGTTACTCTGGATTTAGTCTGTCTTTCAGTTTTTTTTTTCTGTTTTTTTTATGTATTCGTAAATTTACGATCATTCATTCTTTATACGCATTGGTGGGCAGTGCATTTCACACCTAGGTACTATGGTAGTCAATGGGGAATGAGATCTGTGTTTGATTAAAACATTCTTCCAAATATCTTCCTTTGTGTTCAGCAGAACAAATAAACACTAAGAGTTCAGATGCAAAAGCCTCTAAGTGCCATTTGAAATTTTCTTCTAAAATGATCATTTTTATCAAGCTTGTATATTTAAGTTCAGTAATTTCACTTAAATGGCAATGAAGATTACCTATTAATTGCCATTTGTGAAATTACTGAACTTAAATATACAAGCTTGATAAAAATGACCATTCTAGAAGAAAATTTCAAATGGCATTTAGAGGCTTTTGCATCTGAACTCTTCACTTAGAGGTTTGGAACAACATGAGGGTGAGTAAATACTGACAGAATTTTCATTTTTGGGTGAACTAACCATTTAATAACTCTTAATAGTGTATCAGCGCAAAGACTCTTTATAATTGTTGTTTTTATTTTGTACCGGCAGTTATTGGATTAATGCGGTGAGGTCGGGAAAGGCCGGTCGAGAGAAACGAGCGCGTGAGTTCGGCTGATGCGATTGTACAGTGGTTCGTGCGTTCCGAATCCGATTATAAGTTCAGAAACGGAGCCTCCCTTATCTTGTCGTTCAAGGCTTACAATAGTCCTTTTTCAGACGTTACAATAGCAACTGTGTATCACACGAAATACGTTCTGAGGAAACTATTTTGCAAATCGTAATTACGTTACATGCCAACATATAAGCAGTGCTATTACGTTTGTCCTTAACGTATTTTGCAAATCGTAATTACGTTACGTTTGTCCTTAACGTAATACTATTGCAGTGCTATTACGTTTTTCCTGAACATAATACATCCAAGCAGGTTTCTTTACTATTTATGCATAATCGTGGCATTAAAATTTTGACTCTTTTGCATTCAACTGTCATCAATTAAGTTTTCCTTCGCATTTATTAATATAATAGACCAACGTTACTCAAATATATAAAAAGCATTTTCTCCAATAAAACACAACATACTGATACATTCACAAAAGACATACATTTTATTAGCTTGATGTAAACCAAATCCTAGAATCCATACGTTGTTTGCAAGAAACAGATCCAAATTCAGCCTTTTATCCAGTGATCTTCATCTTCATTTCTCAGCAGCGACCGCAAACGTCAAATCCGCGCTGGTGATGAATTCAAATTCAAATAATGCGCCTTCAAGAAGCGTTACGACATGTTTTACGGCAGTGATATCAAACGCTCATTGGCTCTCGCCTGCTTCGTCACAGATTGCGACATGCCGTGTTTCAGTCGGTGTAGTACATTTACATTTGAAATAGAGAAGAGCGCGCGCCTTCAGACAGAGAGCGAACCGAAATCAGATTAACATTTTGGATTAACGTTAATAACTTTAATTCTGATCTGTACCTCATACACAACTACTATAATACTGCCAGAGGACTGCGACTGCAACTTATCATCATGTGAACGACTTTTGGTAATGTTAATAATAAATAAATAAATTATTGTGAAATGTATCTGTCTGTTATGTTTTTTTTCCTTAATTGTGCTACGTAGTTTTAAGGAATGGTTATGGTTAGGTTTAGGGATAGGAGTGGGATTAGTGGCTCAAAATATATTTTAATGCTAAAACTCATTTAACTACACATCTCTGTCCATTACGTTTTATCCTTTTTATATTCTGTATAAAATAAATATGTTTTTTTGGAGTAGGATTAAGGGGTCTTGTTACATTTATCTTTAAAAGTGAAAGTATACAGATATCGTTATGATATGAAACATATGTAAATAGTTAACGTTTTGTAGCTGTAAAAACGTAATAAGGTTACGTTTAAATGTTGACAATACGTCCATATTATACGTTTTAGCATCTATCCAAACGTACAAAAATGTACGTTACATATCTTTGAAAATAACGTATTAAATCTAGGTATTAACAATGAGACATATTACGTTAAGGACCAACGTAATAGCACTGCTTATATGTTGGCATGTAACGTAATTGCGATTTGCAAAATAGTTTCCTCAGAACGTATTTCGTGTGATACAGGGTTGTACAATAGCGGGACTTTCGCCTTCAAAATCATTCGTGGCATAACTTATACATTAGTCAGTTCTGTTGTCACACAGAGAGATCGAATAGACTTCTGTTAATCTGTATTTAGCACGGCCGAATAAGGTTTTTTCAGATTTTTTTCTGCTGGGGTCAAGGAGGGAAAGAAACATTAATTTGTGGGTTGAAAAACTATTACATCTACATGAATATATTTTAGTTTACACAGTTCACTACAGATGTGGATAGTAATAGTACTCTGTACGCGCATCCAATCAAAGAACGAGAAAATACAACCCGATCTCACGACCAAGTCGTACGAATTCGACGAATGATTAAAAAGTGGCTAATTCGTAACAATTCATACGACCTCACTCGTACGAATTAATACGATTTTGCTAAATCGTACATATTTTACGAATTGGCCAATTCGTATGAATTCATACGAATGACCTACCCCTGACCCCGCCCCTAAACTTAACCATCACGTGGGTTTAGACAAATCGTACGAATTAGTACGAGTGAGGTCGTACGAATTAGTACGAATTAGCCACTTTTTAATCATGCGTCGAATTCGTACGAATTGGTCGTGAGATAGTGTTGGAAAATACAGACGTTATTATACGCCTGCTAGATGGCTGCAGTCAAAGCGAAATCTGATTGGCAGATAAAATCTGACTGATTATCTGATTGGTTAAATAAATGGTTTCATTGCCATTCATTTTAAGCTACAGGCGCCCGCACTGTCGATTCTGAAGGCCTCCAGGCAGATTTATTTACCCTGGCAATGCATGATGGCTGAAATATGATTGGATACAAGCTCTAACATAAAAACACAATACTGGAAGCAGCGCAACCAAGGGAAAAGCTATGATAGAATGAACGATTGGGAATAATTTAATACTCATTCATGGAAAAAATATATAAAAGTGCAAGTCAGCGATTCTGATTCAGAGAAGGCTTTGCTGGCCCTGATGGCCCACCACTGCTAAAGTGACAGCCCACAAAATACAGTGAACAACCGTCATCACAGGCACTGAATGCTAATAAAAGCTGATCGAAATCATACCATGTCGATGCTAACTAGTCTCTCTATTATAGATCACGTCATGACGGCAAAATAAATCCAGGTCCTCCGGCACTTTACCGTCTGAACACTGAAAAACATTGTATTGATGGGAATCAGAACAAGATCAGACGATGGACATATGGAAGAAAAGATGAAAACAAGAAGAACAAAGTCATACTTGTGGTGGGAGAAACCGGCGCTGGGAAAACCACCATGATCAACACCATGATCAACTACATACTGGGAGTGAAGTTTGAGGATCAAGAGTTTTATCAAATCACAGATGAAGAAGAAGAAGATGAAACACAATCCAAGACATCTGAGATCACAGTTTATGAGGCGTTTGTTGAAGAAAACCCAACATCTCTGACCATCATTGACACTCCAGGATACGGAGACACTGAAGGAGTCGAGAGAGACAGAGAGATTGCTGAGTATCTGACCAGATTATTTTCAGATAATGATGATGGGATTCATTACATTGATGCAGTGTGTTTTGTGATGAAGGCGTCTCAGAATCGTCTCTCTGGAAAAGAGCATTACATATTTCACTCAGTTCTGTCTCTGTTTGGTAGAGATATAGAGGAGAACATCGTGTTTCTACTCACATATTCAGATGGAGGACCTCCAACAGATGCTCTCAATGGCATTAACACAGCAGGAATACCCTGCAGAAGAGATGAAGACAATGAACCTGTTCACTTCTTATTCAACAACCGACAGAAACAGAAAAGAGACAAAAAGTATGAGCAAACATTCAGATCAGCCTGGGGAATGGGAGAAGAAAGCATGAATGAGTTCTTCAAACTCATGGAAGAAAAGAACAGAAAAAGTGTTCAGATGACATTAAATGTTCTACAAGAGCGAAGACGACTCGAGGCCTGTGTCTCTAATCTGAAGCAGAGAATAGAGGAGAAGGAGTCAAAAACTGATGAACTGAAACAGATTCAGGAAATCCTCAGACAGAACAGAGACAAGATCAAGAAGTGTGAGGACTTTCAGTTTACAGTGACGAAGTCCTTCAAAGTAAAAGTCCCCATTGTAAATGAGTGGCTGTGGAACAGAAACGCGACCTGTTGCTCCGTCTGTGAGGAAAACTGTCATGAGTGGCACTGTGATTGGGTCTCTCCCAGTAAACTCTCACAGTGTTGGGTCATGAAAGACGATCACTGCACTGTGTGTTCAGGAAAGTGTCATTACAGCGAACACGTCAAAGAGAACAAAAAATATGTGACGAAGACGGAGGATGTCAAAATGACATTTAACAAACTCAAACAGGAGTATGAACGCAATAGTGAAAAGCCTAAAACCAGATTTGACAAAAACAAATATGATACTACTAAAGAGGAACATGAAAGTATCATGAAAGAGTCAGAGAATATAACAGGAATAGAAAAACAACTGATCAGAGATCTGGAGAAGATTAAAGAAGAAAAGTCCAAACTGCTGCATGAAGTTTATATGGCCATCATGAGTCTGTCTAAGATCGCACTAAAAGCCGACAGCGCTTTCACTCTTCAACATCTGGATTTCCTGATTCTCAGACTGAAGGAGGAGGAGGGAAAAGAGGAATGGATGAAGAACCTGGAGGATCTGAGGAAAGCTGGAGAAGACAAGAAAAATAAAGGGGCTTTACAGTTTATGATGGGCTTTTTCAGTCGTGATAAAAAATAATAAATGCAACAAATCTGAAAATACACGATGAAAGAGCAGAATAGATATTAATCCATCAGTGAAAATGATTCTCACAATTACTTTACATGATCAAATGACTGAATATATGAAAAGTGTAACCAGGCATAATAGTTAGAAATAACATTGATGAATGACTATTATTTAAATATGTACTGTTTTATTTAGTCTCTACTGTTTTAGTAATTGTGGAAGAAATGAAATGTGTTATGTACTATGTTTGCATTTTCTGTATGTTTGATTTTCCTTTATTATTGTAATTAAGGTGGTATTATAGTTGAACAGGTTTCTTGGTGAAACAGTCTTGTGTTTGTATCAATGGCTGTGAATTAATTTGTATCTAGTTTTACTCATGGAAAGGCCACTGTTCACCACATTACTGTGTTTACATCCAAAGCTGTGAATTACACTTATGTGCAAAATTAGAATATTACACAAAACAAACAACAAACGCTGTCATGTTATCTTGAGTTTGAATGCCTGATGTTTTGCAATTGTGTCAAAATTTTAAAAACAACATTTGAGATGCTGTGCACTGGTTAGTGTGATGGATTTAAAAAAATATATTTTTAAAATTTAAAATTTTAAAATGTAAAATTAGTAAATTGTATATTAAACTAATCATTTTTCTAACATCTAACTTTACTTCTACTTTATGCCTAACAGTGAACAGGAAATTATGTAATGTATCATGTCATATTTGCCATCCTCCTATTCTATAAAAACTGTTGTATTGTTTTTGCTGGTTTGATTCTCTCTGAAATTTGTCTGAGATCCTCCGGCCGTGATTAAAGCGGAGATTAAAAATCTCATAATTTAATGTTGTTTTTAGTACTATTATTACTTTTTATTAATATTCTTAAGTATTATGTATCTGTTTTATTACTTTTTGTATACATAATCATTTGTAATCATTGCATTTTGTGAATTATACTGTTTTGAAGATGTGGGAGAGAGAGACTTTAGGAGACTTTGTGATAAGTTAGACTGCATGAGAGAATGTATGTTTGTAGTGTACTGTATATGCAGTGTATAGTTTCCACTGGGATTGCATTGTAAATGGGAACCATCTGTTTCTGTGGTAATGTATGCGTTACTATGGTGATATAGTTTTTTTTTTCTTGGTCTGTAGTGTAAAGACTGAGCCCTTTTGTTCGGAAAGCAGGAAGAGATGGCAACGATGCAAAATGAGAACTCTGTTTGTCTATAGTCTCTTCCTTATGTCTTCTAAAAATTATAAATAAATACAAGAGATCTCTTGGAAAAATCACTGGTGTCTCTTTTCATGAAATTAATCAAAAACAAGTGGAAAGCAGAATTTTTAAATCTAAAGCATATTCAAAGGCATCGTCTGGAGTCTGTCTGTTTAATATTGCTTGTTAGCAGGACCGGCTCTAGCCCTTTGGTTGGCCTAGACGAGATTGATTTGAAAAATAAAGCTATAGCTATATATTATACTTGGAAGCAACTCAGTGCCGCCAGTTAAGCAAAACATAACGAATGGGCTGCCGATCTACGAGTTTTATGGGCAGTTAAGACAAAAAATAAGTAGGCTAATGAATGTATCGGCCCAAAAAGCATGTCAGACACAGGGAATCTCCTCGGTAGGGAATCTCGGTAGTCCCGATGGCCAGTAGACCTAAATGCCTGTGCACAACACTATGTACATTTATTTCGTTTGACACCTTAATGGCTGAGATGAGAAGACTTACCTTACCTTTATATTATCACAAAGAAATTATATTCGCTTAAATACTGATACAGGCAAATTATCAGTACTGTACTCGACCTCAGTGCTGCATTTGACACTGTAGATCACAACATACTTCTTGACAGGCTGGAAAACTGCGTAGGGCTTTCTGGGATAGTCCAAAAATGGGCCAGGTCATACTTGGAAGGGAGAGGTTTTTATATATGAGTATAGGAGAAATCAGTGTGGTGTGAAAAGGGACCAAAATGTCTGAAACATGCTACAAAGTGTAGATGTGACTATATGTGAAACTGAAAGCACCCTATTTCACACTGGACGCGATTTTGACACACAAATAATTCGCGCGATGGTTTTATTTTTTGATCAGCTGTTTGTATAATGCGTGCTTCCACACTGAACGCGAATGTGCTGCGGCGAAAAAACGACTTTTATTTTTTCGCTTCGATGTCGTTTTTTATTTTATTTTTATTTATTTTTTTACTTTTGAAGCGAAAGAAAAGACTTCAGCCAAACATATACAAGGAAACAACCCACATAGCAACTGACTCCGGAACGGATCTGCCGCGGAGGTAAGAACAAGGTCCGGAACGGAGTCCACTTGCACAGCTCAACGGATCCGGAACAGATCCGGATTGCGGATCCAGACTAGATCCGCGGCAGACCCTATCCGGATCCGATCTGGACCCGTTCATTTCGGTCTGAAAACCTTTCAGATCACTCATTCAAAACTAGTAATCTGGCCAAAACTACAAAAATATTTCAAATCTATTGGTGGACCAACATTAGATAGACTGCCCGCTAAACAACATGATGGCCAAAAGATGTCTTTTCAACGTCTGTGTCACAAAAGTCGGATGCTGAAAAGACGTCCAATGAGGAGCCAGAATTAAAGTTTTTATGACGTGTTTTTTTGACGTGTTCTGCACGTCCGATATAGACGTTAATCGAACCTTCGTACACGTTTAAAAACTAGGTCAAATGTGGCCATCGTGTTTAAAACTCATGTTTATATCAATGTCATTTCCTTACATTGTTTAGATGAGGTTTAGATGTTGATATTAGGGTTGTAACGGTATACCGGTATGACGGTTTATCGCGATATTGACATGTACGATTATCATATCGTGCACATTTGCTTATCCGCGGTTAAAAAAAAAAAAAAAACAGATTTCACCTGCACTGCCGCATGCAACTTCTTTCAGCTTGACTGCTTACTCCATATCAGCGCTGAAAATGTCCGAGACAGAGGCTGCGAATCTCTATCTCCCGTCAAAAAAATAAATAAAATCTGCAGTATGGGAATATTTTGTAACTTATATCCGAAAAACGATCGTGATGTTGTCCTTGAAGATGGATATCCAGTTTGCAAGATATGTGGACGAAGAGTGGCTGCAAAAGGAGTAAACACGTCGAACATGTTCTCCCATATCCAGGAACACCATCCCTCCGTGAAGATAAAGGTTATTCATAACTTTTATAACTTAAGGCCTGGGGCCATATTATTTCTGTCATGCTGAGGGAATCCCGGTCTGTCAAAAAGACGCACACATGCGTCTTTTTGCGTTACAAAACAGATGCCACGTAAAATGTGCGATTTAAAAAGATAGATGGATAAATAAAGCAAAATATAGCTATGCAGTAGCCTAAATCAAATCGCGATGTGCGTGTCTGTGAATATACAACGCAAAAAGACTGGTGTGCAAGCCCCTTCTATATTCAGCGTGTCTCTGAATGAGCAGCGCCGTTTCGTCTAGTAGATCTAGTACACACTCAAGTACGCATGAACATATCTAGACAGAGAACACTTAATGTGCACTTTATAATTATTTTTTTAAAGAATAATCATCAAATACACTGACTGAAACTCATAGGTGTTCAGTAGGTGTTAACGCGGGGTTAAATGTAACACGGACCGTTTACACAGTTCGTCAGGATCAAGCAGGCTGTCTTTCCGCTATTTTTCTCTTGCTGTCTCCCGCGAATTTGCGGAAAGTTTTGATTATATTTCGTAAAGATACTGGACAGAGTGTTTTGACACCATGAAAGTAATTTTTTTAATCATAGGTTTTTTTCGGTTTCTGAGTTGAGTGTATACGTTTCCAAATCTAACTTTATATTGCCTTAATCACCGTCTTGTTGGCTCAAACATAGCACCGTATTGAAACATGTCAGCAATTCCTAGCGACTGTTAGCTAGGTTTAAAATATGTAATACACAGCGGGGTTAATTCTAACAGATGGTACAACTAAGCCTCCAAGTGTACAATGATAATCAAATGAAAACGGAGCCACACAACTTTTCAGGTTTGAGTATACATTTAACTTTGTTAGACGTTCACAAACAATGTTGGGATTTAAAATGTTTAAAATTTAGTGTTCTATGAATGATAACTTGTTTATTTATTAAAAATATGGCCTGTTATTAATGCAATAAACCCTTTAAATTTTTATTTTAAGCTAATTTGTATTATCATTACTGTTATTAATAATAATAATAATAATAATAAACATAATTGTACATCATGCAGCTGCCACACACAAATCTAATTTAATTGAAATTACAATATTTATAATTTTATTTATTATTATTTATTGCAAAACTATGCAGCCCTTTTCTATGTCTCTATCCATGATATTGATCCATAATAGAAGGATGATTGGATGAGGGATATGTATGTATATCTGTCTATACAGATGCACAAACAATATCAAACTATACAAATAAAATAGTACTGAATTATGTGTGTTACACACAAGTGTTACAACTAACCCCTCTCTCTGTTACAATTAACCCCGCATATGGGGTAAGTTGTAACATTTGCACTTCTGTCACTTTCAGTCCAACTGTACGAAAATGGTAGGTCCTAGAAAAAAACTTTAAGTGTTCATTTGTAGCAGAGATGTGCATGTTGCTTGTGTAAAAAAAGTATTAATCTAACCTAATTATTTTTTAATTAATTGAGCCAAAAGCAAAAAGCGTTAGGTTGTGCCCCGCTCTCCCCTACAACCTGGGAAAAAAAAGTTTGGTTTAGCCTATGACTAAAACATATTACTGTTGTGTATAGTTTTTTTGTCCATGTTTTAATTTATTAAACTTCTCTTGTGTAGACAAACTAAAGTTGTTACATTTTATCTGATTGCATTCTCAAAAATACATTTTGTATTCAATCACAGAATCCAGACCAGTTATTTCAGACAACCCAGAATTTCTGAGGAAATAAATATACATTTCATAAAGACTCTATTGAAAAAAACTTTGTTACAATAAACCATGTTCAACCAAAAACAATATCTGTTTTTATTCATTTAAGGGCCATTGTAGCTGATGCTGATTATAATAATGATAGTTTAATATCGTATACCGTGAAACC